TGATGTAGCTCAAATAAAAAGTAGAGTCATTCTGTTTCTTTCCCATGTTAATATTAATTACAGAAGGATCATTTGGTTTGATGGGAAATTTGCCAAATATGCAACCACTCATATAATTAAATTATTCTTATATTTCCTTTACTTTCTTTTTAAAGTAAGTTTCCTTTTCATTTTAGTCCTTTTTCAAATGATCTTTTATTTTAATCACCTAAAGAAAGACTTGCAGTAAGTCAGTGCTATAGAAAAGGTCATTTCTTATTCCTTAACTATTAGCTATTTCAAAAATTTAGTGTTAACTACAGACAATCCTGCTCTGACGTGTGATTTTTGCAAAGAAAACATAGCCAGTGACTCTGTGCTATCAGCTGGATTTTGATATACTATTAAATATATTCTTAGTTAAGGTTATACATATCTCATCAGTAATGAAAAAGATCTTAAGATATATGTGCATTTTAGTGTTAAAAATATATACTTACTATTAAAAATGAATATTCACTCATAAAACTACCCACCATTAATACTAACTCCATTTTATGTATTTTTACAAAATAATTTCATTAGTGACTAAATATTCAAGTTTATTCAAGCAGGAAATTTGCATTTTTTTACCTTTTTGGTATCCTGAAGGGATATTTTCATGGTTCAGAAAATAACTTTACTTTTTCTCAAGATTAAAAAATAATTTACTTTCTACTTGGGAAATCCTCATGTACTCTTATTTACATCCAGATTTTAATAACACATATGATTAATATTTTGTTTTATTTTTCTCTGGACATCTATTTTCTGGAAGCATAATACCAAGAGATACCAAATACCCCTGGTCCACTGTGCACATGTGTTTAATCTCTCTTTAATAAGGTGTTTTACAATGTTTTCCTTTAATTCTAAATTTTATATTTATGTATTTATTTCCTACTTGCTCAAACATACCAGAAAGGCCGCACAATTACATAAAACAACCAAATAACATAAATACAAGAGAGAAAGAAAGAACAAGGAGAAAAATAAAACTAAGAAACTAAGAAAGTAGAGAAATTAAATATAAGAAGGTAGAGAAATTAAACAAAACCATGATTGAGACTGTGTTACAAAAATATGCCATAAAGAGAGCAAATTACAGCCCATGGGCTACATCCAACCTACTTTTTTTTTTTTAAGTAAGAACACTAACATGAGATCTAATCACAGATTTTTACATACACAATGTAATATTGTTAACTACAGGCACAAGGTTTGTATAGCTGCCTTCTAGAACTTATTCATCTTGCATAACTAAAACTTAATATCCACTGAGCATCAACTCTGTATTTTCCCCTCCCTCAAACCCTGGCAGTCATTATTCTACTCTGTCTCTAGGAATTTGATTATTTTTTATACCACATATAAGTAGAATCATACAGTATTTGTCTTCTGTAACTGGCTTGTTTTACATAGCTTAATGTCCTCCAAGTCCATCCACGTTGTTGCATACGGCAAGATTTCCTTACTTTTTAAGGTTGAATTACATTCCACTGTATGTACATACTATATTTTCTTTATCTGTTCATCTACTGATGGACATTTAGGGTGTTTCTGTATCTTAGCTATTGTGAATAATGCTTCAGTGAATGTGAGAGTGTACACATTGCAAAGAATGATTTCCATTCTTTCTGATATATATCCAGAAATGGGCTTTCTAAAACATACAGTAATTCTATTTTTAATTTCTTGAGGAAACTCCATATTGTTTTCCTTAGCAACCCCACCACTTTGCATTCTCAACAACACTGCAAGATTCCTATTTCTATACATCTTTGTCAACACTTGTTATCTTTTTAAAAATAACAGCCATTCTAACAGGTGTGAGGTGGTACCTCATGGTTTTGAATTGCATTTCTTTGATTATTAGTGATATATGCACCTTTTAATATACCTGTTGCCCATTTATATGTCTTCTTTGGAGAAGTCTATTCAAGTGTTTCACCCAATAACAGACTAATATGAAAGATTACAGATCAACAAACTGGGTAACCAAGGAAAAATGAGTAAATTCTTAGAAATGTACAACCTACCAAGAATGAATCATGAAGAAATAAAAAATCTGAACAAATCACTTCCTAGTAAGGAGATTACATCAGTAATCAAAAACCTCCCCAAAAAGAAAAGTTCAGGATCAGATGGCATCACTGGTAAATTCTACCAAAGAAGGTAGAGAAGAAAGAAGAAGAAGAAGAAAGAAGCAGAAGAAGAAAGAACAAAGAAGAAGAAGAAGAAGAAAGAAGCAGAAGAAGAAGAAAGAAGAACAAAGAAGAAGAAGAAGAAAGAAGAAAGAAGAAGAAGAAAGAAGAACGAAGAAGAAGAAAGAAGAACAAAGAAGAAGAAAGAAGAAGAAAGAAGAAAGAAGAAGAAGAAGAAGAAGAAGAAAGAAGAAGAAAGAAGAAAGAAGAAGAAGAAGAAGAAGAAGAAGAAGAAGAAAGAAGAAGAAGAAATAATACCATTTTCAAACTCTTCCAAAGATAGAAAAGGACAGCACATTTCTAAACTCATTTTATGAGGCCTGCCTTACCCTGATACCAAAGCCAGACAAAAACACTGTAAGAAAACTATAGACCAAAATTCTTGATAAGCATAAATGTAAAAATCCTGAACAAAATACTAATGAACTGAATTCAACATCATATTAAAATGAACATACACCATGACCAAGTAGAGTTTATTCCCAGACACAAGGATGTTTCAACATATGAGAATCAATTAATATGATATGCCACTTTAACAGGATAAAGGATAAAATTCATATAATCTCATTTGACAAAATTAAACACATTTTCATGATTAAATCTCTCAATAAACTACATATGAAAGAAACGTAGTTCAATATAATAAAGGTCACATATAAAAAGACCACAGCTAATATTATAGTCAACTGTGAAAAAAAAAAAAGGTCTTCCTTTAACATCAGGAATAAGGCAAGGATTATCACTTTTTCCACTTCCACTGAACATAGTACTAGTAGCTCTAGCCAGAGCAATTAGGCAAGAAAAAGAAATAAAAGGCATCCAAATCAGAGAGGCAGAAGTAATACTGTCTCTGTTTGCAGATGAATGTCTTATATGTAGAAGACTCTAGGGATGCCTGGGTGGCTCAGTCGGTTAAGCATCTGCCTTCGGCTCAGGTCATGATCCAGAGGCTCTGTGATGGAGTCCCACATCGGGCTCCTTGCTCATTAGGGAGCCTGATTCTTCATCCTTCTGCTTGTGTTCTCTCTCTCTCTCAGACAAATAAATAAAATCTTAAAAAAAACTTTCTAAAGATGCCACAAAAAATTATTAGAACTAATATGCAAATTCAGTGAAGTTGCAGGATACAAAATCAACATATAAAAACCACGTTGTGTTTCTATAAACTATAAGGAACTATGTGAAAAAGAAATCTAGAAAATAATCCCATTTATAAGAGCATCAAAAAGAATAGTGTATTTAAGAATTAACCAGTGAGGTGAAAACATATACACTGAAAACTACAAAACAATAGTGAAAGAAATTGAATAAGACAAAAATAAATGGAAAGGTATCCCATGTTCATTGAGTGGAAGAATTAATATTGTTAAAAAGCCCACACAAACCTGGGCAATACACAGATTTAACACAGTATACAGATTTAACCCCATTAGAATTCCAATGACATTTTTCATAAAAATAGAAAAAAAATCCTAAAATTTGTATGCAACCACAAAGGCCCCAAATAGCCAAAAGAATCTTGAGAAAAAAGAATAAAGCTGGAGTTATCACTTTTCCTGTTTTAAATATATTACATAGCTAGAGAAATTAAAACAGTATAGTACTGACATAAAAACAAACATGTAGACCAATGAAATAGAACAGAGAGCCCAGAAATAAATACACACATATACAGTCAACTGATCTTTGACAAAGATGCCAAGAATACACAATGGAGAAAGGAATAGTTTTCAACAAATGGTGTTGGGGAAACTGGATATCCGCAGGCAAAACAATAAAATTGAATGCTTATCTTAAACCCCAAACAAAAATCAGCTAAAAGTAGATTAAAGACTAAAGTGTAAGACCTAAAACTATAAAAATCCTAAAAATAAATAAATAAATAAATAAATAAATAAATAAATAAATAAATAAATAAAAAATACTAGAGAGCTTCATGACACTGGTCTTGGCAATGATTTCTTGGATATGACAGCAAAAGCACAAATAACAAAAGAGAAAATAGACAAATGAGACCACATCAAACTAAAAAGCATCTGTACAGCAAAGTGAACAACCAAAAGAGTGAAAAGACAACCCACAAAATGGGACCAACTATTTGCAAACCACATATTTGATAAGAGGCTAATATCCAAAATACATATACATATAAAGAAATCCAACAACTCAATAGCATAAAATATGTTTTACTTTTGACTGACTTCTCTCTCTCTCATAATTGGGTAGCTTCTTTAGAATTGTACTATAAACTACGATATTCCTATGAAACACTCTTCCTTTATCATGAATTACAAAAGAATAATGAAAACTTCCACTTGCACCAGAAGCTGAGTCTATACATTATCAGGGGTGCTAAGGGATAAGAGAGAGTTTATGTGTCTACTTTGGTTTGTATAAATGCTAGGCGCTTAAGTCTATTTCTGGACACATAAAGAGAATGTGAAAAAAATTAGAATACAGAAAAAAGTAACAAAAATAACCAGATTTGGAATATGATTATTGCTTTGAATGACTTAATCCCATCTATTTTTTTCTTCTATAGCCCCATTAATTTCTATTCATCTTCCAGTTTTCAGCTTAGAAGTCACTTTTCCCACATACCTTCCCAGTCTTCTCAAGAATGAATTGGATACTCCACCAGTTTACCCCAACACTACCCAATGAAGGCCGTTTTATCTCTTCAAACATTCCTTGTAATGGCCTATTTGTCTCTTTCCTCAGTAGAATATCACTGCTATGGTCTGACTGTGTCACCTCAAAAATGTATATGCTGAGCGGAGAGCGGACCCCAGAGAGCCCTGAGCAGCCCCACCGCCGCCGCCGGCCTAGTTACCATCACACCGCGGGAGGAGCCGCAGCTGCCGCAGCCGGCCCCAGTCACCATCACCGCAACCATGAGCAGCGAGGCCGAGACCCAGCAGCCGCCCGCCGCCCCCGCCCTCAGCG